TTGTAAATACATATTATTATTAATTGATAGGTACTATGTATAGTTAAGATTTGACGGATTTAGGACTATGTGTGTAGTACAAAAATTTGGATATTTTAGGGACTGAATTTAAGAAACTGAGAGGTCTTAAATGTCCTGTGGTTAATAACTTCTATGGACCAAAATATCTAATCTTAATATTTACAAATTAAAAAATATCTTAATTTTTTTATGAGAAAGAAACAACAGTTTTTATTGTGTTTTTAATTTAATCAATATTACATAGATTAATTATAAAGTTATCCTAAATTTACATAGGCTTAATTCAGACTCCCATATATTAATTGTACTATCCTCTTTTAATAATGTTCAGTTATTGTGTAATATTGACTATGTAATTTTGCTTTGCTTCACTTTTAATTATTGTTTTAATGTATTATTTATATTATGTTCCATACAGAATATGATAAATGAGGATTCTTCTGATGACGATCATGAACTATCTAATAGACAAGAAGACAGTAATTTGAGTACCCCCGACAGTAATTCAAGTGTAAAACATATACATAAAAAAATGAAGACGTCACCAGATGATATTTCAGATATCGACTAAGAGAGTTAAATTATATATATATTTCTATGTTTAATATTTAATTTACTAACATAACAATATTATTTTACAAAAAAACCACAAGTTTCTACTAGGTTTATGTTAATTTATTTATATCCATAAGAATATTATATTAATTGTGTTTAAAAAAGTATTATAAGTATTCTTTTTTTTTTTTTTTACATTCAATATGTTTGGCATGTTGAAATAAAATATTACAAGGTAGACCAAATAGTTATGTTTGTGCGGTTTAAAAAAATAAATGCCAATCATTTTAATTGTGGCATGGTATGAAATTAAAAAATATATATTTTGTTAAATGAACACAGTATTAATCTAAAAAATATATTTAATATATTATACATAATATATTCATATTTATTTATAAATATAAGTCTACCCTCTTATGACAACAACCACAACTATTATTTGTGTAACCACACAGTCATTTGATTAAGAATGGCTTGTTGAAAAATTTTAATGTCACAATAAAACTATTTTTATTTCATTATTATATTTTGGTGTTTAATGTAAAATAATCTTTTATTATTTTATAAAATGTTCAATATAAATATTATATATTTTTTACTTTGAAACAAAAATAGTTTATTCCATACTTTTAATATTTGCTTAAAAACAGTCAAAAAAAGATTTTCTATTTAGATTTGAGAGAAATACATTTATGGATGAAACTATATAATGTTGCTAGTGTTGTTTTAAAAATACTCCTGATTAGAGATATGATTTTTACTGTTCGTAAGATTGAACACCCTCATTTTCAGTATTTTTACTTTTTATAAACTATTACTTAGTCAGGGTAGCATACACAATGGTAAGTGCAGACACTACATCTTAATTCTTAGTATATAATCTAAATCTATTYGATATTGAAGTAGATATACCGGGTGATTCTTTTATCATTGAACATTCATTATTTAAAAAAAGTATTTACTTTTTTCAAAATATTTATTTTACATAGTTTCAAGTTGTTAAAAAACCAACGTTTTTATTAAAAAATTATATTTTTTATCCTTATCATTTTTTAAGTTTTTTACTTTTTTGRATGACAACCTAGAGTTTTAATATCATATTCCAAAGCAGAATATTTTTCTAAGTATTTTGATACGTAAAAATCGAATTTTGGACGAGTAGTTTATGAGTTATAAGTATTTAAAGTTTAGACAAGCGGAGTAGTGGACAAACATTTTGCGGGGTAACTCCGTACCACTCTACTCCGCCAATCTAAACTTTAAATACTTATAACTCATATAGTCGTCCAAAATTCGATTTTTACGTATCAAAATAATTAGAAAAATATTCTGCTTTGGAATATGATATTAAAACTATGTTGTCATTCAAAAAAGTAAAAAACTTAAAAAATGATATGGATAAAAAATATTTAAAAATATAATTTTTTAATAAAAACGTTGGTTTTTTAACAACTTGAAACTATGTAAAAAAATATTTTGAAAAAAGTAAATACTTTTTTTAAATAATGAATGTTCAATGATAAAAGAATCACCCTGTATAAGTTTTACTTGAAAATTGAATAAGAGTTACACTAAAAGTGTTTTTTACAAATTTGATCAATTAACAAAAAAAATTTGACCCGTTAATTCCATATCTCCATTCCTAAAAGAATTCATTAATTAATTCTCTTACTATTCTTTTTTACAACAGATGGTATAAAACATTGCAAAGACAAAAAAATAATAATAATAAATCAGAATAGAGTTTAATGAAAACATAATAAGTGTTAAGTTCAGTCCCATTTAATAAAAAGATAATATTAATTATTTAACATGACATTTGATCAATTTTTTTAAATAAAACTTTCTCTACCCAGATCCCGATCTTCGTGAAAAAACGTGTAAATACTAGCATAATTTTTTTTTCTGGAATATGACATTTTTTTTTAAATGATTATAAAATTATGGTAATTTACTCAAGAAGTTTGCCAATCCTATCATAAATGGTACATCGAATTGATAATATTCTGGTTTTGAGAAATCACAAAAAAAAAATCACTTATTTTTAAAGTAAAATAAAATATTTTAATTTTATGCTTATAGTAGTACGGTTTTAAATATTTTATTAAAAAACATTAATGTACTATAGAATTATACAATTAACATTTCATTTGAACACAATAGTATTAAAAATTCACATACAAATATTATAACTCAGCTTTTGATTAATTCAAATTGGTTAAAAACCAGCAAAGTCATCATATTCATTTTCTTCATCATCTTTGTTCCAACCTATACTCCGGTCTATCGCTTTTTTCCACAAAACATATTCTGATTTTTGTTCTAGAACAGAAAAGATTAAAAATTAATAAACTTGTTTTATTATTATTATAGAATTTGTGTTAATTTTAAATTTACAAAAATCTGGTAACATTTAATTTATTAAGTACTTGCCTTCTTCTGATAAAGTCTGAATAAAAGTGTCACAGTTTGATTTAACACTGTGCATACTCCATACACCTACAGAAAAACCAGCTGCGAGAGCAGCRCCTAGAGCTGTAGTTTCCACCATTTTTGGACGCACTATTTACAAAAACAAAAATTAATATTAATTGGATTTGGTGGTTATACTTAGGAACTGAAATATACATCAATATTAAATAATTCATACCCAAATCTAAAAAAAACATTAGGTATGAAACAATATTTTTTTCAAATAAATTATTGATTATGAAAATAGTTTTATTGTTATTTGTTATTGTAATAATATAAAAGAAAAAGGTAAATTTGAGGCGTAGAAAACAACAGGTTATTGCTGAAGATGTTAATAATATAACTGAAAATATATAATCAGTTAATAGTATTAACAAAACTTTATTTTCAATATTAATTGTTAAGTTTTATACTAAAATATTTAAGTCAGATAATAAAAAAAATGATATGCACTTTGTATTTTTAAATTTAATTTGTCAATGAGTTTTGTATAAAATCAATTTAAATCTTGTATTAAATCCTATATAAAAAAATATGCAACCTCTATAGCTTATGAGCTCTAATTATTACTCTTTGATAATAAAAATTTGCTTAGGGAATCATAAAATCATGATTATTTATTAATTATATTAATTGTGTGTAACTCAAATTTTAATAACAAGATGGAAAAAATAAATACATACTTTAAATAATGATTTTTTATAATTAATGGACCACCAGAAATTTTTTTTTATAAAGTTAATATCAAGGAGGTTTTAGCGTAAAAATGATTTCAACTACTTGTTATCTGAATAACTTACCAACAGGAAGACAACAAACATTTGTGAGAATTTTCAAAAATGTATCACTAGTAGACATGCCACCATCTACATTYAATGCTGTAATAGGATGGCCAGTGTCTGACTGCATAGATTGCATAACGTCTTTTGTTTGAAAACAGATTCCTTCGAGAGTTGCTCGCATCAAATGTGCATCTGTCGTTTCCATAGTCAACCCTGTGATTGTACTGTATAACATACATAGAAAGTAAAATCTGGTTAATTAATCCATTTTTACCCTAAAAATTGTAATTAATTTATATGAAACCAAAATTACATTTAAATGCTCACAAAGAAATATGAGTAATATGAGATATTTTTTTTATGTATAGTAAATTATAGTCTATTGTCTTATTCTACACATAGACAAAAATCAATATTTAGACCAAACAGAATTGTTCAAATAAAATAAAACATAAATTCAACTGTGACCACAAAAAATTAATTAAATATTTATATTTAAATAGTGTTACTAACCCACGTGCGTCACTTTTCCAGTATGGTGCATAAAGTCCGGAAAAAGCAGGAACGAAATGAATTCCATTTGTGTCTTCAACACTGTCGGCCATTACCTCCATGCTTTTGTAACTATCTACGATACATAGATTATCTTTCAACCACTTTGTAGCAGATCCAGCAACAGCTACTGATCCTTCAAGAGCATAAATGGGATCGGTGTGTTTTCCCATCTTATAAGCCACAGTAGTTAATAGGCCGTGGGTAGAAATCACTGGCTGAATAAAAGAATAAAAATCATTTTTTTTTTTTAATTTAACAGAATAAAAAATGTATTAGTTTTATGAACTTAAAATATCTTTATATTTTCCTTAATATACACAAGAACCATTAAGACTCGAGCTAATTAGAGTTTATAAATAAATAAATAATATTCAGAACTACCAGAATAGCTTTGCACTAATTAATCATCACTTTCAATAAAATACCAACATTATTAATGATAAAATAAAAAAAAATCTAGATGAAACTCTTAACGCCAGGTGTCTATATCCTGTTAAGCATTTTTATTCTGAATTTAAAATATTAAAACAAATCTTTATTACCTTACGACCAGTGTTGTACAACAAAAAACACCCAGTACCAAATGTGCACTTGGCTTGACCCGCCAAGAAGCACATCTGGCCCATAAGTGCAGCTTGCTGATCACCTATGCACTATAATAATATATTAATAACACAAATAATAAAAAATTGAGAACCTTCATAGAAAGGGGTATGATTATCGAAGTTAAAAATATTAATTTATTACCCCAGATATTGGTGTGTCTAATAGTGGTCCGTCAGTCATATGGCCATAAACTTCAGAACAGCTCCGTATTTCAGGGTATAATAATTTACTGGGTATATCAAAAAAACTAAAACAAAATTTTAATTAATTACAATAACAATCTTCAATAAAATAAAATAATTTATAGAAAAAACATAATATTATACCAATATAGTTAACAGTAAGAATTGTAGAGGAGAAAGGAGCAATCYAATTCACGTTTTTATATACTTGAAGTTCAGTATTTGCATTAGTATTTTATTTAGTTTAAAGCAGTTTTAGGAAAATATAAAATAATCACCTTTTAAAATATTTAAAAAAAGACTAAGTTGAATAATAATTAAAAATATACAAACAGATGTTAGCCTCCTGGTGATCAAAAATGAACCTATATATTTTTTGTAGCATAAATGTATAAAATTCAAAGTAGATAATACTAAAATAGTATTAGTAATTACAGTCCATATAAAGTTATGACTATTACAAAATATACATACTCGATCAATGCCTTATCCCATC